TAAATAAATAAATAAATAAACTAGCATCATTCATGGGTCAACTTTGCTTTCTTTTTCTGTTTCTCTTTTGGCAAACACTGCCTAAGCTTCTCAGCCTGAAAACCACGTTAGCAGGTGACCTCTGTTCCCACTTGCAAACAGACAGAAATGCCTCTAAAAGCCATTTCCTCTTTTCCACCTGGAAACATCCAGCATCACCAACTAACCTGTCCATGTTCCCTCTCATGTCCCATGGAATAAAACTCCTGATGCATGGATTTGGAAATTCCATCTCTCTTGCCCCCATTCCGGCTACATGCCCATTTCCTATGCACAAGTATTTTCAATCTTCTACTAACTCAATTCTCAGGTCCTTGAAAATATGGGCTGGTTGAGGTTCTCCAAGTACTTTCAATAATTTCGCCCAGCCTGAGAAGTGGTCTGGCCTTTAAGATTATCATTCCCACTAATCATGACCTATGCAGAACTGTCCTAAATTGCTTTGCATACTCATGTGTAATCTAAGATTCATGATTACTAAAGTTCCTTCAGCGTCTGACCCCGTGGCTCATTCCCATTCTTGCTAAGCTCCTTCGTCCTTGCTGGCTCATGCCATGACATGTCCGTGATTATCTTCTCCCCTGAGACCAGACATCCCTTTCATCACTAGAACTCGAACTGTGAAAGGTAACAGAGACCAAGAGCGAAAGCCTTGGAATCTTTTCTCACAGAGATTCAAGGGCTGCTTCAGCAGTCATCATAATAAGCAATACAAATGAACATTAGAATGAACTCCCTGCCAAATTAAAAAGAGGAGGGTGACAGATTACCCATCAGTCACTAAATATCAAGTGAATCCTAAAAAGTGACAAGGGGCCGGGGAGATAGCTCAGTGGAATAAGCGCTTCCCTGGCAAGCTCAAGGTACTAAGTTCAATCCCCGGTTCTGCAAAAAAAAAAAAAAAAAAGGCAGTCCAAGTAGCTAAGATAATAAAACTACTGAAAAGACTAGAGGTCAGAGAATGAGACAAACAAGTTTCCTGTTGATAGATAACTTCCTGATGAGAAGTAGAAATTACAAAAACCAGCAATATAATTCAATTTCTTTTTTTCTGGTCGCAAAAATGCAGGGTGACTTTTTTAAGGCCATTTCATTTTTCTCTGGAAATAAAGAAATATTAAAGAAAACTAAATCTATATCACAAACAAGGATTAAGATATTATCGTGTATAAAGGTTTCTAAAGCTCCTAAGGTAAAAAGAGCTCTCCAATATAAATCAACTTTAAAGAAAGTAGTTAAAAAGATAGGCAAAGCTTTGGTGCCTTATATTTGAGGCTATTTTTCAAAACAATGGCCTGAAGAAAAAGCAACTGTCTTGTTTTAAGAAAAGTAATCTTGAGCAAAATGTACTAAATTATAAAAAGTTATGCTCTTTAATTGAACCCACGGGAAGGCATAAATAAAGCTAAGTCATGTTAAGTATGGGAATTATGAAGAATAATGATTTTAATTTTAAATTCCCAGCAGCCAACAAAAGAAACCAGCATAGGAGGGTTTAATAAACAATCTCTTCCAATTTCAGCAAATAATTCCGTGTAATTCAGCTTAAGAAAAATATCAAGCCATAGAACATCTGGACAACTCCAGAGAAACTTAAGAAATTTATAAACTATGGAACAAAAGGCTTTGTTTTATTTTGAACATGCACTAAGTGAAAATATCTTGAGATTTTTCTTCTGCAAGGAGAAGAAAGCATCTGTATTCTTCATGTTCTGCACAACTTTAGTCCTAGGTCAGTGACCAAAAAACAATGCCCTAAGTTTGTTCTAAGGACAAAAGATTATAAAAGTACAAAATATAGGAGCTTGGCTTCAACAGAGTTCCAGAGCTGAGCAGGTTCAGGAAAAAAAAAAAAAAAATGTGTA